AAAAAAATAAACAAGATGCATTCCAAAAAAAGCCTATTATAAAATGTTCTTTTTAGCTCATTCTAATAATCAATGACAATGTTCAAATGATTCCAAGAGGGTGTGAAAGGGACAGAATGCCCAAATCAAATAAATAACATAGCCTGCAAAGTTGATTCATAGATCCCTGAACCCATCTGATTATTTCATATATGATGTTGTCATCATTCCGTGCTGGTGAGTCATTCCTATGTGACAAAGCAGAACTACCCCACTGGGTTTCCTAGGCTGTGATCTTTATGGGAGCAGATTAAGTCTCTTCCCCCCGAGTTGTGGGTGCGTTCAAACTGCTTCTTGATGCTACAGCACCATAAATGTGATCCAACTGTTTTATACTGCTTTTTGGATTTTTAAGACCTAATTTATTTCTGATTATAAACTTCATACTCGTTGTAAAATTTATGAAAAAATAAAGACACATTAAAATTTAAATTGGTTGAAAATCCACAATTCAGAAATAATACTATTATTAACATTTTGATATATGTATTCCAATGATCAATCGTTATATATATATATACCTGATGTTTCAAAAAAGGGGAGGGAAACTGATATGCAAGACTGCCTGCTAATCCTATTCAAGTCAAGGATGCATCAATAAAATACAGGTTAGAGGACCTTCCTTACTGTCACCCCAGTCAACAGAAGTCACCAAGGGCATCATGTCATTAAAGCTCATGGTATCGTATTGTGCTGGAGATTAAAGACCTAGCACTCTACTCTCAACATTTCTTTTCATTTTTTTTCTCTTGTTTTTAAGTTAAAGATCTATCCTGAAGTACAATGCTGTCAGTGATAGGATAATATCCATACGCCAACACAAAAGACCATTTAATACTACTGTTATTCAAATTTATGCCACCAACCACTGAAGCCAAAGACCAGGAAACTGAAGATTTTTACCAACTTCTGAAGTTTGAAATTGACCAAAAACATGCAATCAAGATGTGTTGATTAATACTGGTGACTGGAATGCAAAAGTTGGAAATAAACAAGAATCACCAGTAACTGCAAAATATGACTTTGGTTATAGAAATGACTCCAGAGATCTCATGATAAAATTCTGCAAGTCTAATGACTTATTTGTTGCAAAAACGTTTGTTCAACAACATAAACAGCAGCTATACAAGTGGACTTCACCAGGTGGAATACACAGGAATCAGACTGACTACATCAGTGGAAAGAGGCAATGGAGAAGCTCAGTATCTTCAAGGTGAAGCTGAAGACAATTAAAACAAGTCTATGGGAGCCAAAATATGACAGTGATTATATCCCACCTGAATTTAGAAACCATTCTAAAAATAGGTTTGATGCATTGAACACCAATGACCAAAAACCAGACCAACTGTGGAATGACATCAAGAACATCATCCATGCAGCAAGCAAAAGGTCTTTAAAGACAGGAAAGGAAGAAGAGACCAAAATGGATGTCAGGAGAGACTCTGAAACTTTGTTCTAAGTGGAGAGTAGCTAAAGCAAATGGAAGAGATGACAAGATAAAAGAGGTGGACAGGAGATTACAAAGAGCAGCTCAAGAAGACAAAGTCAATTATTATAATGAAATGTGCAAAGACCTGGAGTTAAAAAACAAAAAGGGAAGAACATGCTTGGCATTTCTCAAGCCAAAAGAACTGAAGAAAAATTCAAGCCTTGAGTTGCAATACTGAAAGATTCTATGGGGAAAACATTGAATGATACAGGAACATCAAAAGGAGATAGAAGGAAAGCACAGAATCACTGTACCAAAAAGAATTGGTTGATGTTCATCCATTTCATAAGGTGGCATGTAATCAAGAATCAATTGTATTGAAGGAAAAAGTCAAAGCTACACTGAAGAAATTAGCGAAAAACAAGGCTCCAGGAATTCACAGAATACCCACTGAGATGTTCCAACAAACGGATGCCGTGCTAGACACACTTACTCATCTATGCCAGGAATCTGGAAGAGAGCGACCTGGCCAACTGACTGGAGAGATTCATATCTGTACCCATTGCAAAAGAAATGTGACCCTACAGAATGTGGAAATTAAACTATCGAACAATATCATTAATATCACACGCAAGTAAAATCTTGGTAAAGATAATTCAAAAACAGTTGCAGAAGTATATTGACAGCAAACTTTCAGAAATGCCAGCTGGACTCAGAAGAGGACATGGAATGAGAGATATCATTGCTGAAGTCTGATGGATCATGGCTTAAAGCAAAGAATACCAGAAAGATGTTTACTTTTATTTTTGGACAATTCAAAAGCATTCGATTGTGTGGATCATAACAAATTATGGATAATTTCCATTGAAAAGAATGGAAATTTCAGAATACTTAATTGTGCTCATGAAGAACCTGTACATGGACCAGGAAGGAGGCTGTTGTGCTAACAGAACAAGGAGATACTGCATGGTTTAAAAGCAGGAAGGGAGTATGTCAGGGTTGTACCCTTTTTGTATGCAACATATACTACATGAGTAGTACGTGAGTCTTTGCCTTAAGCACTATGCCACCAGAGTTCCCCTTTGAAAACTAAGGTATGCCTAACCAAAGCCATGGTGCTTTCAATCACCTCATATATGTGTGAACACTGGACAATAAATAAGGAAGATCAAAGAATTGATGCTTTTGGTTGCTGTTGGCGAAGAATACTGAAAGTAATGTGGACTGCCAGAAGAACTAACAAATCTGTCCTGGAAGTATAGCCTGAATGTTCCTTGGCAGTGAGAATAGCCAGACTTTGTCTCACATACTTTGGTCATATTGTCAGAAGGGATCATTCCCTGGAGAAGGATATCATGCTTGGTAAAGTGGTCAGCAAAAAAGGGAAAGGCCCTCAAGGAGACTGACACAGTGGCTGCAACAATGGGCCTATGTATAGCAAGAAGTGTGAGCCTGGCACAGGACTGGGCAGTATTTTGTTCTGTTGTACACGGGGTCACTAAAACTTGGAGCTGACTTAACAGCACCTAACCACCACCACAACAGTCTTTAATAAACTGAGAAAAGAACTATCATTTAAAAAAAAACACTGTGAATGAAAATTAAGGAAATAGTAGTATGTTTTAAAGTAATTCAATAATGCATGGGACATGAGAGAATGCTGAACATCAGTTTTAACATTTCTTAAACTTACATTTGTATTAAAGAGCTCTGGTAGCATAGTGCCTAAGGCGCTTAACTGCTAACCAGAAGGCTGGCAGTTCAAACCCACCAGCCACTCCTCGGAAGGAAGGTTGGGCAATTTATTTCCGTAGTGATACCACCTTGGAAACCCAAGGAGGGGTCGCTATGAGTTGGGTCTGACTCGATGGCACGTAACAACGACACATTTGTATCAGTGCGGTAAAAAAAGTAGATATTGGTCCTATTAAGAGGGACATAGTCTTTCACAATAATTACTTCTGTGATCTAAACAGCAAGTAATCAGATTTCAGGCAGGGATTAGTTACTTTATTTAAGCAAATACATATTCACTACACAAAATGTGCTAGTCACTATGGTAGAGAGAATACGATGGAGGTAGGTGGAGGAAACAAGATGAGCATGATGGCCTGGAGAAGAAGGGAAGAGCCTGAATTGCGTGCCAATGGACAGTCTGAATCCCTGGAAGGAGAGGATGCACCATCCTGTCCATGTGTCCTCAGCATCCAGCATGGCGCCTGGCACATCACCACATGGAAGCACTCAATGACATCTGCTGAATGAGTGGATGTATTCTAGGTACATGGATTACGAGAAAAGATTGTGAGCATGTTGGCCGTCTCACAGGTAGGGAACACGGGTTCAGGGAGCCTTAGAATCTTTTGGAACACTGCAGTTTTAATCATGGCTTTCCCACAGGCTTAAGTCTCTTTTAAAAGGACTTTCTGGGACTAATGTGAAATCCTTACTCTTTTGAAATCAAATGGGCTTAAGAGTAAAAAAAAGATTAACTGTAATGGCTAGAGAGCCCCATCTCCAGTCCAGCAGTGGTATCAATGCCAAGTCTGAGGTGAGGCACTATCTTTTTCCATAGTTATTCATCTCTGTCACAATGACTTAATGACCTTAATGTCATGAAACATTACATAATCTTAATGCCACGATGAGCTGATACTCTTAATCAATCACCTTCTTAATAAAAACAAGAAAATAAGAACACTAACCTTCCACATCATCAGGGCTCCCATCATAAATGGACTAAACACAGTCAGAAAGCAATAGACAGAGGCAAGGTCAAAGCTAAGGATGTAATACGAAGAAAAAGGACGTTAGAATCCACACTGGGACTTTAGAAGAATACTGTTCTAAAAAGCATGCTCAAACAAATTTTCTGACATCTAATCTTACTAAAACATGAGCATACATCATACCAAGGAATATCATGAACCACTCAAAAGAATGAGGTAGATCTGTGTGTACCAATACATAACACTCTTCAAAAGGGTCAAGGTCCCAATTTGCATATTTTTGGTTTTAAGTAAATATATATAGGTATACTTATTTTAAATTACCTGTTAATAGATGCTATATTGCCAGTTCCAAAAAATGCTGTCACGAGAAAGAAAACCTAAGTAGAATTAAGGAAACACCAAAACGAGTCAGAATTTATAACAAATTTCTTTTCCATTTGCAAAAGACATGCCAACCCTATCATGGGGGTAATTTGCTTTTCTACCTTTACATTTGATCAGAAAATTGTTTTAAATGAAGGCTCTATTGTGACTCCTTGTAAAAAACCAGATCGAAGAAGTGCCATACAGAGGACAATGAGGCCTCAGAGGTCATACTCACTTGGTCACTAGTAACCTTGGGAAGGCTACCAACTTCCTCTTCTCCAACATGGAGAGTTAGACTTCTGTGTTTGTAGTTAATAGCTGGTGTGCCCCTTACACATGAACAGTGTACGAGGGTCAAAAAGTAAAATATCATGTTTTATAACAGTTCAGTAGAAAATGGGAAATAAGTAAACGTTGAACATCTTTTCAATATTTTTTGAACTTACATTTGTATTAGTGTAATAACAAAAGATACAGATATTAACCCTATTGGTGCCCAAGAACTTACTGCTGGTACTTAAAATGTTGCCTTGCCCTTAAAAGGGCTCAATACATGTTAGTTATATATATATATATATATATATATATACACATACACACATACACACACACACACACACACAATAGTGGTACAGAAACACTGAAGAGGCAGTATGAATAATAAAAACTTTCCATGAAAAAGTAGCATTTCAGTTGGTGAGTTGAGTCTTAAATATATTCATAGATACATCCATTCAACCAATCAACTAACCAACCCGTATTTACTATCCAGTATAGGTCAGAGACGGAGCTAGGCACTAAGAATATCAATGTGAATCAAATCGTCTCAAGTGCTCCTAAGATCATGATGGTATGTACAAACAGATGACAAGGAGTTAAGGTAAAGAAACGGTGGGAAAACAAGCGGCACAGTCAAGGAACAGCAAATAGGTGGGATCAAATCTCAGGGTTTATAGAAGGTTATAGTGAACTATTAAGCAATAAATTTAGATTAGTAGAATAATTCATCAAAAGCTACGAACTTTATTGTTGGACAAGGAACGGGCAGAAACACCTTCTAGCTCTCCTTACTCCATTAAATGGGAGGCAGCAGCTCCTCGAAATAAAAGTCCCAACAAAGGATACAAAGAAAAAGGCCCTGCGGACGTCATCCAGATAGAGCTGTCGGAACTGAGTTATATCCGTATTATAGGAAAATTTGATACTGGTGAGCTGTGAGATAATAAGAAAAATATTAACACTCAGGAACAGTCGGTTTCACATTCAAAGGAAAACTTACAGTTGAAGTTACAAAGGCTAGAAAGATACCCTATGCTGACAAAGAAACTGACAATAAATCTTATCCTATAGCTTAAAACACCAAAGTCACTGCCATCGAGTCGAATCTGACTCATAGCAACCTACATCGGGTTTCCGAGGCTGTAAATCTTTACAGAAATAGATCGCCCCATCTTCCTTCCGTGGAGCAGCTAGTGGGTTTGAAATGCTGGCCTTCTGGTTAGCAGCCAAATGCCTTATCCACTATGCCAACAGATTACATTTAAATAAAATCTGCCAAAAAATACGTTACTAATAATAAACTGATCACAGTTGCTATAATATTGCTATCTGTGTAATAAAAGTGAGAATAGGGCCTTACTGTCCATACAGGCTTCCCTTTATATATGTTCCTAGTGCCTTGAGCAGGAGCTCTGGTAGTGTAGTGCCTAAGGCAATTGATTGCTAACCAGAAGGCTGGTGGTTCAAACCCACCAGCCACTCCTCAGAAGGAAGGTTGGGCAATCTACTTCTGTAGTGATATCGCTTTGGAAATCCAAGGAAAGGTTGCTATGAGTCGGGTCCGACTTCACTGCACATAACAACAACAACAACACTGCCTTTGGTGGCCTAGTGCCTAAGGCATGTGACTGCTAACCAGAGGCTGGCAGTTCAAACCCCCCAGCCACTCCTCGGAAGGAAGGTTGGGCAATCTACTTCCATAGAGATACTGCCTCAGAAACCCAAGGAGGGGTCACTATGAGTCGGATTTTGGCTTTTTTTTTTTTTTTTTTTAACTGTTTTTTCAGTGTATCTATACCACTAATCCCTTTTAATTCCCTATATAATCCTTCACTTTCAAAGACTGATTTCTCAGCATGCCCTGATCTTCTCAAAGTATGGCCCAGTAACAAAAGCATGATAAAAACAAAAATCTATTTCTTTGTTCTGCTGCTAATTCTGATTGCAGAGAAATTATTTTCTCTCTATTAAAAAAGCAACATATACTTGTCTTTGGTAGAATAAAAAGCTACTCAGTTCTAAGAAGAGAGATACAATGCTCCTTAATCTCTTTCCTGAAAAAAGAAAAATCATGGGTGAGTTTCAAGGGAGACCCTCCCCATCACCCAGACCTGGCAGTCTGGTCCCATAAAGATAACAGCCTGGCAAATCCAATAGGACAGTTCTCCTCTGTGATGCACGGTCACTATGAGTTGGAACTGACTCAATGGCACAGAACAGCAACAGGTCTTGGGACGCTTTACTACTCTTCTGGGAAGAGAATGTGCTCTCAGCTGAAAAACGGAATTTACCATGTGACACAATAAACAGTCTCTGACAATTGATGTGAATATTATCAAAACTGCTTTTTACATATTGTTTCGATATTCCAAGGCTGAAAGTTACAAAAAGTAATTATTCAATATACTTCATTAAGTTTCTTATTAAATGAGATTAATTTTTCTAAATTATCAATTACAGTGAACTCAACTGGAATGAGTTAAGGATGGATAAAGTATGAAGGTATTTTTCTGCAATATTCATTTTATCTGATGTCAGTAAAATTTTAAATATTCTATCACTAATTCCTCACAGTAACCTACAGTTCTAAAATAACTAAAAAAAAAAAGCAAGGCACATCAATTTTACTCTCTCACGCAGCATGATAAAAACCAAAAAAAAAAAAGAAAAAAACCTCACTGCCATTAAGTCAATTTTGACCCATAGCAATGCCCTTTGGGCTTCCAAGACAGTATCTCTACACAAGTAGATTGCCCAGTCTTCCTTCTAAAGAGTGGCTGGCAGGTTTGAACTGCCTTCTGGTTAGCAGTTAAATGCCTTGGGCATTACATCACCAGAGGTACTTTTAAAGCCTGGTTGGGTTTTAACCAATTCAATGTATACTCGGTTCTAAAGTACGAACCAAGGCCATATTGATGAGATGACAGAATATGCATTTTAGATTATGACGATGAGAAGGAGAAAAAAATATGTGGAATATATATATATAACCTTATGATCAAAAACATAAATTATGACAACATGCATACCCTCTGACTCACTAACTGAATGAAGGACTAATTCAGTGTGAAAACAGGAAAACCAGATGCACAGCTTTCTTTCTCTGTCACCCCTTCACCCACGTGGATGTTTTTTCCATCAGCAAAGTACCCAAGTGACTGCTAAGAAAAGCCCAACACATACACTGCGCATAAAACTACAGGAGTGTGCTTTTCTGTGGTGTGTGGAAAATTTCCATACAAATTGTTTAACTGTCAATGCCAAATAAAATCCACTCAAGTTTCCTAAACACTATTTAAGATGAAATAACACTGAAACTTCCTTATAGGATAGAGACTATACACAATAGTCTCAAGGACACAGACTCTGATAAGTTACCTTCTGCCTACAGGCAACACCAGTTTGTTGCAGGGTTTCCTGTTCCATGTGTATCCAGACAAACATCAAGCAAGACAAGACCAATGGGAAAAGAGCTTCATACCTACATGTGTGTGGTGAGGGAAGAAAGGAAAAGAGAAAAATGAAGCAAATAAAAACTGCAAATTTACACTGAGAGGTCTTTTTCAAACTTGAATAATCTTGACAATACTTTAAGGTCACATCTCACAAAACTTAAATTTTCTCTAGGCTTTCCAGAAATGAGTAGAAAAGAAAACTCACATTCAAATTTCAACTTCAAGACTGTTTTCATGAAACTTATTAAATCTTGAGATCATTACATATTTAAAGTAGTATGGATTTTGAAATCATTCATAAAATAAATGACAGATACACACAAAAAAGAAAGAAAATATTAAGACAAAGGGAAGAAGACAATTCCTGAGTTAAAATAAATATACATAGAAGAGTAAATAAACGAGTGAAATTTTAAAAAAAGAAAGAAAAACCACCTATAATGGCCCAAAATGCCAACAGGGAGGGTAGGGTTAATAACTGATTTTTCCCTTTTACCCCTACTTAACAAAATGTGGGGATATGGTTTTTATAATCATAGAAAAGTAACTGAAAAAGAAAGATTTAGAATACCTGTATACTGGCCATTCTTTAAAGCTTATTTCAAGACCCACATGACTCTGGCGGCACCAATTCAACCCACGTACTCCACCTCTTCTCTACTCATTCTCTGTATCAACTCATAGCTTCCTTAGCTCATAAGAACTTCATTGCTCCATTCTGTAACTGCCTAACACTATAAAATATAGTTCTTATTTCAGTGATATGCCTGGGATATGTAACTCACCCTCTATGCCTGCAGAGTGCTCAGGGCACTACATGTCAAAGGAAAAACAACTGTTGATTAACTGAATCAAGAAGGTATACTTTGAGCAAAGAGAGACCATGATTTTATAAATATTTGCAGTTATATATGAAATTGTTCTTTTCTAGTATATAAAAACACAAATTTCATAGTTCTATAAATAGTGCTACAGAATTATTTCCTTTTGAAAAACTATCAACTATGATCACTTTCTTCAGTAAAATGTAGGTGGACAAATCAGACACTTGTTCTATGGGACTTTATTTATTTATTATTTACTTTTTTTTATTATTGTGATTTGGGTGAAGATTTACAGAGCAAATTCATTTTCCATATAGCAGTTTACATATACTTTGTCTCATGAAATTGACCACAGTTTACCACAATGCAACAGCTTCCCTCCCATTTCCTCCCCATAGTTACCTCTTCCCAGTGTCCAACCCTCCATGGACTCCTGCCCCCTAAGCTGTCTCCCTGTGAATAGGCAGCCCTTCTTTCTCAATGATTGTCCTCTCCAAGGAGTGTATCTACCTCAGGTAAATGTTCAACTCATATGCCTGTCTTC